ATGCTCTTCAGTAGAGGAAAGGATAATGAAAATGTTATATATACACAACAGAATACAATTCAGCTGTAAAGAAAAATGAAATCATGAATTGTTTAGGTAAATGGATGGGCTTAGGAAAGATTACATTGAGTGAAGTGACCCACATTCAGAAAGATCAACACTGCATTTACTCACTCAGCTGCAGTTCTTAGCTCCAAACCCTCAGGGGTAAGTATATTACTGGAGTAACTCCAGAAATAAGGAAAGTAAAAAGGGACTACTAGCTGGGCATGGTGGTACATGCCTTTAATCCCAGCATGTTGGGGGCACAGACAAGCATATCTCTGTGAGTTTGAGTCCAGTCTGGTCTACAAAGCAAATTCCATAACAACCAGGGCTGTTACAAAGAGAAAGCCTGTCTTGAAAAACCAAAAAAGGGTATGTGTGTGTGTGTGGGGGGGGGCTATTAGGTGGTTGTAGAGAGAGTAATAACAGGATATAAGAGAGAAATGAGCCAGGGGTTAATTGGGAGGGAGCAGGGACATCAATACAGAAGAGGGAGATGGGGAGGAGAAGACAACAACACTATAGATGTTTGAAAAATCCATAGGGAACAATATATTTTATTTACCTAATTTTTTTTAATGAGGCTATGCCACATAGAGTATCAATGCTACCTATCTCTAAGGGCCATAGACTAAAAACCTTCAGTACTAGGCATGAAAAGCTCTCTTTGGAGTTGTTGGCTAGGAGAGTCCAAGAGATTCCCTAACAATAGTCTACTGCTGCCACCATTGTTTGTTTCCCAGAGATTGAAGGTAACATGTATTACTAAAGACAGCATGCACTTCAGACACAGGTCTTGAAGGATTTGAATTGGATCTGACAGGAAGAACTCTTTCCTGGGGACTAGCTTCTGTAGTACCAGAAGATGCTATGCAAGCTGCCAAGGAAGGGAAACGACCAGTAGTCCAACCAAACTTTGATGCTTATGAACCACAACAATGGCCAGTAAAGGAACATATCCCTTAAGATGCAGTAGTTATGCTCATATCTTAGCTGTAACCAACAACTGTCTGATTGGACTTAAGGTACACTTAACAGAAGGGAAATTGTGCCTGGTGGTGGAAACCTACCCAACTTCCCAGAGCTAGAGAGGTTGTGGATCTTAAAGAACCTTCTGCCACCACTCTACCACTCTAACATAATCTCCACCCACCTTCTAAATACTTCTATGTATACCCCAAACAAGCTTTCACATCTCATCAAAGAGTCTTCTCTTTGTAGCAGACAGAACCATTACAAAACACCATGACTGTTCAAAACATAACTGATCATGGGCTGCCTAGATCCAGTTGCTATATCTTTGATACAACTCTCCCATTTAAGACTTGAGAATCATCAAGGAAGAAGGGTGGAGAGACCGGAAAAGTCAGAGAACCAGAAAATAGGAATGTGTCTCCTAGAAATGAAAGGGAAGATACATCATGATACCTCAACTGTGTGCCTGCCTGAACAGGAGCTGAACAATGACAACATCAATAGAAATGCTATTGTGGAGGAAGAAATGTCATGGGGCCTCACCCCTAGACAAAGAGCTGCAGGCAACTAAGAACTGCTGAGAGGGAGAATTACTCTTCCCCAGGGATGAAGCCACGGATTGGTTGTTTAGTTCTAAGTAGTCATTCCTGAAATCATATACATACAAGCAACACTAAGCTCAGAAGGTTGTGTCTATGCACAGAAGGTTCCCATGCACTTATATGTGAGAAGAAAAAAGAGGAAATGAATATGGGAGGGAACAGGTTGGGGGAACACATGGAAATGGTAGGAAGGAGGAAAGAAGGGGAGATAATATAGTTACATTACAATTAAAAGGAAAATTAATATTACAATATAGTACGTATTAACACAACATAATACATATTAATATAATATATAATATAATGTAACTCATCTTTACAAAATGAAAAAACACTTATGCTAACTCTAACATGCAGAGACTAGATGTAGAGAAGTCATCAAGGCCTCTGTCTTCTAAGATAGGCAAGAAAGAGAATAAAGCATGAAGTGTTTATAAACTCCTAGCATTAATGGCTTTGAATTAATACCAGAAGGAACTCTCTTTTGATTCCATAAATTTCACTGAATTCATAACGAGGCAAGTTTTTAAAGGCCATTTAGGTTAGTGTCTTATGTGATGGCAGGATTGGAGGGCATCTTTTACATAGGCAAGGTGTACACATTGTGTGAGCAAGGTGAGAGTCTGACTTTACATACACCTAGACACGCTGACACATGGGCTACGGACAGTGTTCTTGTGCTAGATAACAGAGTTGACACTCCTTTAGAGAGGAGTGTTTGTTTACGTGATACTTTACAAGTATTATGATATTAGAGTGCTATTGCCTAAGGAAGTCAGAACATAAAGCGGAATTATGCAGATCCCTCATGTTCCTTTCCTTTCCTTCCACCAGTTGCATTTGTTTCACATAAGTACCCCTCCGAGGCATACCTGGCGCCATTACACACTAAGCCAGTGACACACCCTTAATGTCATTATGGTTGCCTACATCTCCGAAGCATGGAGATCTGGCTCTTTGAACCCATAAGACTATTATGACATGAGAATTAGTGATTATATTTTTAACTGTATAAAATGCATATCTTACAATTTCAAATCTCTTCCCACAGTGTAGATAGGCAGGTCTCTCTCTCTCTCTTACACACACACACACAGAGAGAGAGAGAAAAGAGAGAAAGAGAAGAGGAGAGGAGAGAAAGAGGAAAGAGAGAGAGAGACACAGAGAGAGAGAGAGACAGAGAGAGAGAGAGAGAGAGAGAGAGAGAGAGAGAGAATGAGGAAATACAGCCTTCCCTGGCAGAGTTTTTATGCTTCCCAACTTCACTTACTTTGACACAAACGTCACATGGGGAAGACCTTGTGTGGAAACAAACCCATGCAACCACACACTGAGGTGAGGTGGGACCAGCTCCATGGTTAGTAGACCAGCAGTCTCTTCGTGGAGCATTAGCAGCTGACTTGGGAACCACTAGCAGTTGCCTTGGTTAAGGAATGTGTCAGATAAAGTTCCTGCCTGATTTCTAGACCATGAATAAGTGAACACACCAAGTTAAGTGTTTCCTAGGGCTTGGATCTGATTTCACTGTACACAAGGGCATGCTCACAGACCACCCACTCACTGCAGAGAGACTGGGCAAGCTTGGTTGTCTTCATCTTTGTGCCACAGAGCTCTCTGTGCTCTGTTTTTTGCATGTCAAAGCGAATTCAAGGGCAGAGAATCCCCACCTACTTGGTAGCTGCTGGCAGTACAGTTATAGGGATCATACTGTCCTTCAATTCCTAATAGTGTTAAATGAGATTCTTCTTATATCCCTATTGCTCATCTCCCTACATCATCTTCTTCTCCTTCTTTGCCTAAATCACAGTCTTCTGAGATGCTTTGTCTGACTGGTGAGTGAGCCCCACTTACAATGAACTCTTACAGTACTTACTGCCTGTCTAGATCACTCAGCACCTCCAAGCTCTTTTGGTTTCAGCTTCAGAAGCAGCTCTTTGAGAGAAATAGCAGTTAAAACCTATGCAGTAGAATGCTGCAAGGCTTGAGTACATCTCCACTGTGTTCTAGCTGAGTGATTGTTAGCAGGTTATTTGGCATCTACTGAGTCTTGGTATATCATGCACATATTGACAGTGACTGCCTTATATAATTCTATTGAGGGTAAAATATGTTAAAGTCTTCAAGGCAGTTGGTATAGTACTTGGCATATAAGTTATATGGATTAAAACAAATTCACTACATGGCTCAAAATTCAGACCACCTACATTCAAAGTCTGACTTCACCACAACTAAGTTATGTGTTTTCACAAGTTACTTAGTTGCTCAGTGCTAGGCATAGTGATTTGTATCTTGTCAACTGACTGGGTTGTCCATTCATCATGTTGACTTTTGCTTGCCTATTTTCACTGCAAATTCCAAGTTTTGGATTTGGCCTTTTTTTAATAAGCAAGGAGGAGTTTTATTTCAGAGAATGAAATGATTATATTTGTTTTTAAGGACGATTGTTTGATTCTATGTCCTAAGGAAAAACTCTGAGTGTACATGCACAAAACAGAATGTACAGTTTTGAGCTTTTCTTTAATTTGTGGAAACCAGGGCTGCTCAGGGATTAAAGGTGTACACCACCATGCTTAGCCTAATTATAAGGTTTTCAATAAAGCAGATGTAAGGTTGATGAATATATAAATAGAAATATGTATTTCTTGATGATGGACTGGAAGAGGAAGATGAGAGAGAAGCTAGTTATGTTGATGATGAAAGTTCTACATTAGGTCTTGGGGTGTATTATGATGTCTTCAACATACAGCGAATAGGGTAGGCAAAAGAGGGTTGTGATATGGAAGGAGAAATGATGAGTTAATGAGTTAGTTTGAAATTCTCCGGGAAGCCTGTGTGGATTTGTTTAATGTAAAAAGTAGATTTAGGAGGGAGATTGAGTAGGACACTGCAGTCAAATACATAGGCATGCAGAACTCTGGTTCAGTGAGTATATCAATAAGAAGAGTGGGAGTCAGATGTCTGCAAAGGTAAGAGAACTTGAAACGAGTAGAGAGAATCCAGTGGAAGGAAGCTGTTTCTGAAAGCACAGGGAGGACAACCAAACCGGCTGAACCAAAAGTCAGAAGAGATGAAGACTTAACCGTATCCATAGGACTCAGAGAGTAGGAAACCAATGATGACTACATTTACAAAAGTTTCCTGCACAGAGTGGGCTGGCTGTTTGTCTGTTATTGAGAACAGGTCAATTAATAAATATAACTATCTGAATGGAAAATTTGCTCCCAAACTTCAGAAAAATGTGAACAAAAGCAATGAGCATAAAGAAGAGAGTTAAAGATTAGTAAATAGATCCAAAAATGTAGGAGCAACTACCTTATTGTTTTATACAAATGTCATAAGAACACAAATCAAGTTTGTCCTGTTCACACTAATTCTTACCTGGAGAGACCAGTCCATACATGTGACCACCCGATGCTTAGACCAATGCTCATCATAGAATTGGCGGTTGAAAGAAAGGTTGGCTCCAGCCTGCACATCCCTAAGAGGGTTAAAATAGCAGAGGTAAAAAGTGAGGTTTCAGATCAGAGTGACCTAACAAAAGCATATAATACTCCTGGAAGGCAGAAGGCCAATCTAGACAGTAGCACATGATCATGAGTAAATGGATTGAAGATATCCTTTATGAAAAGCTCTTTCTACTGGCTCAGAAAAACTTTCTGAATGAATTTGTTTTGAGTCTGGTATAAAATGTCCAATTTGTCTCAAGTTCTTATCTTAGTGAGTCTTGAAGCATTTTTCTTCCCTTTAATTTGCTCTATCCTGAAAAAGAGTTATTAAAAGTTCCCTTAGCCAGCAAGAAGGATCAGCAGATAAAAATACTTATGTACAAGCCTGATGTCCCAATTTCAATTCCCTGATCCTGTGGTAGAAGGAAAAACCAACTCCCAAAAGTTTTCCTACCACACCCACTTGAGTAGCCACACTCATACACATACTAATATTGCATTAACAAATTAAATTTCCCTGAAATTAAATTAACATAAAAATACAGGGAGCTATTCGATATCAATATTACCCTCTGTGTTATTAGACCTCAAATGATATACATGTTTTTATCTGTGACTTGTGACTGACCATAGCAATTGCCTCCTTAAGTAACAGTAGGTGATAATTTCTGCCATGAGAAAGGTATTGTGGAGATCTAGTGTATCTCAAGAGTGTTCCAGACATCAACCATGTCAGTCATGGACCAAAAAAAGCATTGTCTCAGAGGACTGAAGGTAACTTGGCCAGTGTTTGTTTGTCTAACGCTCAATTGGCCTTGGTACTACCTTCGAAGAACTCAGCACTCATAAGTCTGCCTCAAGAGTCAACTGTGCTTAAATTGAATAATGTCTGTTCTATGCCAGGAGCTACTGGGTCTGTCCGAGAATCTACCTGAACCTTTCAGTTTAGGAATTTGTCTATAGTCATTCTTCCTCTTTTCACATTATTCTGCTCCATCGCATCAGAGCAACTCCCCTCTGTCACTCTTGTTCAGAATGAGTAGTCTGGCTTCAGAAAATATCATTCTAAGCTTTGATCAATTGATATATGATTTCCCTTGACCCTAACACCACCACCGATCCTATGGCAGCTCTACCACTGCAAACTCACGTAAGAGGTGCATGTTAGTCCTGTTAGAAATCCAGTATGGCACTGAGCCATGTACTAAGATAGGAAGGGGAGACCATTAAAACCAGCTGAGCTACCAGAAATGTGTTTTGTTTTGTTTTGTTTTTTGGTTTGTTTGTTTTAGGAAAATAAACATCAGTAGAGCATACAAATTCAAGATCCTGCTTATCTCTTCTGTACAGTTTAATAATGCCAACTGTTGAGAACCTTTTCAAAACATCACCGTAAAATTATTTTTCACATCTTTGGTCTGCTCTTTTCCATATTCTCAATGTTGATACCATACTGCCCTTTAAGAAGGCATTTGTCTTTTAGAAATAATTTTTAAAAAATTGGATCCAATGCAAAAGGCAAGTGATCCTACCTCCACGTGTTGTTCTCAGACCAAAGAAATCTATAGCAGTAATCCAACTCTGTCTATTTCTTACCTGTCTTATAAAGTGCCTCCTCATATCTCATGGTGATACCCCACGGCTGGCAGCTACTGCCCCTTCTAACACATACACCAACACCAACTACAATCACAAAGCCATATGAAATCCTCTCCACCCATTTCTTCAGCTAATTTTTGTTTCTTTTATCTGTAAATATCTCTTTGCCGTATGTTTCCTAAAATGTGCATATGTACATGTAACACATATATAATCTTACAGGACCCAAAAGAAGTTGAGTGTTCTAAACTGTTACTTCGCACCTCTGTTGTGACCTTATATAGCTCATGCTTATTTTCTCCACTCCCTGTATGTTTAGACAACAAGACGCAATCTAGCTGATCTACAAATCTCTGCCAGCCACATAGGAGAATATTTCTCACAGAACAATGTGTATGACTCTGCTTGTCTCTATCACCTGGCTTGGGCTCCAGATATCAAGTTCAAAAGAATGTCACAGAGCCACATGATAATTACAGGGAAACGCTAAACCAGAAGTTACAACCAATGCTCACAGTCAAAGCTTGTTTGGTATGATTAATCCAGGAATTTCATCTTCCTCTCATTTGCTGGACTTGGGTTTTGCCTAGTCAATACATAAATGTATTTACATTCAGTGAGTAAAGCTGGGCAGACAGTATGCATCTGGGCTAATAGCACTCAGAATGGAAGACAACTTGAGCCTACCACAGAACAGCTTGAACAGCATAAAGAGATCCCTTATCCTAAAAAGAAGAGCAAGACAATAGAAGCAACAATTCTTCACACTGTGTTTTTCCAAACATACATAAGCAACGAACCCATCTTTCTCCTCCAGCTCTCGGCCGCTGTAGTCAAAAAAGATGTCAGAATCCTCAGCTAGTGCTCTTTCAATCACTCGGATTGTTCGGTCAAAGAAGATGAGGAATTCCTCTGAATGCAGGATCTGCTGTTTTTCTTCTTCTGTCAACTCCCTTGGAGGGGCTTTTTATGCAAGAGAGATAGTTAGGGAAGCAAAAGGGACAATTTAAAACTGTTTTAGTGAAATTCTGCCTGTGCAAGAGCTTGCTTATCCAGGGAGAGATAATGCACAGGAAAACAAACCATTGTTCATTAGGATCACAGATTGTTCTTTAATGGTAGTGTGGGATATTTTGATCACACTCTGATACTCCCAAGACTGCACAATAAAGTGGTACCTTGAATGCGGGGTAGGGGGTGGAGGGGTGGGGGTTGTGGGGTGGCAGAGCCAGTGACTCTCTGACTGAACTGGATGTAGAGAAGCCTGTGATTTGGATAGAGAAGCCGAACAGGAAGGGAAGAACTAGAGTTTGAGCTTTCCTGGTTCTGGGATGAGGGGAGAGATGTGTCTCTTGCGGTATCTTTGGCCAAAAAGCAAGGTCAGCTAGTTGCTACTCAGCCTCCTTGAACTGACAGGTTTTCACCCCAGACTTTGACTTCTGAGTCCTATTGGTAAATAGAATGCTACAGACTGGCCATGAGACAGGAAACCTCACCAAGCCACAGCCTGAGTGGCCAGTGGGGCACTGACTGAGGAGCCGTGGGGCAGCAGACAATAATTAAAATAGTAGTGGATTCACGTGCAGCCACTAAGCTGACAGAAAAACATCAAAAGGCTTTTGTAGCTATCCTCCCTAAAAGATTTCACATCTCATCTACTCCGTATTATGAAGAATTAAAAAGAATTACAAATGAAAATAGATTAGCATGCTTTACGTTATCTATTCTAAATGTTATTTGCTTTCAAACTGAACTGGGGAAAAAAACTCAAATAGGACAGGAAAAATACATTGATAAAATTGTACTAATTAGGATATGTCTGTGACACGGTGCAGATGGTTCTCTCCTCTCCACTAGATAATTCCACTTGGCTTCTGAGGGCTAGCTGGAGAGCTGACATTGCTATGAAAAGTTATGTCCTTCCTAATGTGCAGTCATTCAGGGCATCTCTGAAACATTTCCCAGTTGCTTTTATGACTTAGAGCAGTTGTTTTGTTTTATTTTATTTTAATCTTATCTGGCCAAATCTGAAGAAACAAAAGGAGACAGACAGATGAAATAATTGTCAGGGTTCCATGGAGTCTGTAACTCAGTTCCCCTCAGTGTCAGCACTGGGTCCTATAAGTAATTCCTTCAGCAACTCTTTTTGTATAAAACTCTAGAGGAGATATAGGAAACCTTCCATTCTGGAGAAGCTCATAGGGCTGACATTTTCAGCTGAATCTTTATGGTGTCTAGAGATCCTACTTCTACCTCTAATTAGTCATCCAGGGAACAGTTGAGCCATCCCGCCCAGGAGGGTCAGCAATTAAAATAACAGGGTCTTCGGTGAACTTATTTTCCTCAGAACTTCCCAAGACATCTAAGACATCCGCCATCAGACCCAGGTTCTCCCTGGCCACATGATGAGAGGAATCTTTTAGGTAGAGTCAGCTATTTTATAGAAGAGTTGTGTAACTTGATTAACAATATTCCAAGGTCATTGTCCTAAGACATCTGGATGGTTAAGAAGCCCCCTTCTGTAGAGCCATGGCAGGGAATTTCTCTCTCCACTTTCGACGGTCCCTTCCTTGCCTAAGACCATGACCCTGGGAGTCTGAAGAGACTCAAGACTATTTATAAAAAACAAACAACAAAAACAAAAATGAGAATTATTCTGATGTAGCTGATTCATACTTCAGAAATGCTGTCCAGTTAACAATATGGTGAAACATGGTTGATCAACTATAGCAGAAGACCTGCAGATGCAATCTGCTCATCATTTCTGATAGTTCCAAACAGAATTAGGGACAGTTCTTTGATGATTAAGATGTCAGAGTTCTAAAATTACCAGGTATGTTGGGACTTTCCAAAATTTCCACCAGGATCTACTTGTAGTCTTATCCAGATGCCAGTCTACAAACTGATGAGGTTGGTGATGTCTAGATTCAGAATTTTGTTTGGGATTTGGAGGAGGCCATTACTTATTAAGACAATCCTAATAAACCAACATTTCCCAGACACTTATTTGCTCTGACTCTTATTTATTAATTTGAGCTTAAACCCTGAGTATCAGTCCAGTTTAAAAATTATATATACACATATGTGTATGTATATATATCCCCAAACAGATAAGCCTTCAATAATAAATGGATAAGAAGTAATTTATGACTCTATTTTCTAAGCCTCCTTGTGCCACTTAAATTATCTTTTTCTAGAGTAAAGCTACTCAATGTGACCAGGTGAAACAATGACCAAATCTGATAGGTCTCATTTGTTTGGTTAATACTATTAACAAATGAGTTAACTTCACCAAACAGGGCTAGCATGGGCCAAGAAGAATGTCTTTTAAAAAGATTCAGCCTTGGCCACTGTTCATAGGTGACTTAAGACACGTTTGAGATTAAGCAAAGTAGCCAAAACTTCCTTGTGTCACCCTCCCTGCTCTCCCTTCCAATATGAGGAAATCGAGAAAATCTACTCTCTGTTTATCTTTTTGAACCACATCTACTTTACCTTGTATCTCCTCTTGCAAGTCTATTACCTTGAATAAAAAAATAGTATCTGTGTAATTTTCTGTAATTTTTTCTTCCCTACAGCTTATTGTCACTTTGATCTCAGCTTTCAAGACATACAACCTCTTCTCTGGGAGAAACATAAATGGCTGATCAAAGTGTCCCAGCAGAGGCCGAGTCCAGGTAGGCGAAACAGCCGCCTCTGTAGACATTATCTTTAACAATACAATATTTGGCCTGAAATCAAATTGCTACTGAACCAAAACAAAGGATACACTTTATATTAAGCTTTGATGTCTAAAAGGGATCAAATGACATGGTTTGTTTTGTACAAAATAATAACGTGTATGTACAGATGAGCACTTTCAGAATAGTTATAAACAATGTCCAACTTACAAGTTAAACAAAATCATAGCTATTTTTGACTAAAACCAATCTCGTATTGCTTTAAAAATATTTAAATTGGTAAGTGTTGTTACAATATAATGAGAACATAATGGAGTACTCAGGAGCCACAATCAAAAGGTACACTTAGTAATAAAACCTCTCACACAAAAAATTAAAGTGTTAGTTAATGGAATCCAAAAGGTTTCAACTACAGAAATAATAATAATAATAATAAAAATAGGACTGGCAGTGTCTTTTCCACAGATGCAAAATGCAAAAATGTAGAAATTAATTTAAAATCAAAAACCACATGAGAGCAAAACATGGGTATGGATTACATAATATGTTGTGTGGCCTCTTCATACAAACTGTGGAGAATTCCTTTCTGGAGCTGATAGCCAACAATGATTTTACCTACCTTTAAAGGAGGAATTTCTATGAAAAGTAGAATATGTAGATATGACTTACAAAGAACAAGAGAATTTAATCATTTACCCAGTTACATTGAGCCTGAATAACATGTATGAAATAACATGTATGAAAGAGATGCATCATACTCATATTTTAAAAATATGAGATAAAAATTTAGAAAAATCTATGAATTTGTGACCTGTAAGATTAAAATATAGTATAAAATTTATTCAGGATCTCCTTTTCATTATTTAATTATATAAATGTTAATTTCTCCTGGTCATATATGAAGTACATTTTAATGCTTCCTTTAAGAAAGTTCTCTCCTATTGGCCATGTTTTCTTGACTTTTCTCACTGATGCGAACTTAGCCTCTCCTTCATTGGCCCCATTTACTCTATTCTCTAGCTCTTGTTTTCCAGGGTCCTTAGAACATTTGCCTCTACAAAGACAAAATGTACACAGTGAAGTTGACATTTTATACCTAACATTTTAATTTCATTTTATGTTTGCTTATAAATGTAAGTGTCTAGTGGTGTGTGTGTGTGTGTGTGTGTGTGTGTGTGTGTGTGGTGTCTGTTTTGATCACCTTTCCAGTTTGGAGACATCATCATTTGTCTAGACTGGACATCCAGCTCACGGATCTGCCAATCTCTGCCTCCCTAGTGCTTGGACTATTGACAGGGGCTGCTGTACCTCACTTTTCACATGGGTGCTAGGAACCCAAGCTCAGGTTGAGTTTTCATTGCATGTAATTTATTGATGAAGTCGCCTTCCCAGTCTTAAGTTGAGATTTATATTTGTAAAATACCCACTTCATAAATGGCTTGCCTTGTTTTTTGCAATGTATCATTACATTGGAATAGAAAAACATGGTGTTTAAGAGATATTTTTGCAAGACTATCTAAAAGATAAAAATAAGTAGCCCACATAGCCAGTGAAAACACCAGATGAAATCGTGGCAATGGCCGTAATGGAAATTTTACAGTACAATCACTTCATAAACAGCGGCAGGAAACCAAATGAAACTGACGCAGACAGACATTTGTCTCTGAAGTTAGCATGAAGCTTGTGGCTTCATCTGAATTTATAGGCGTGAGGACCCCAATACTCTGACTCTTTTAACAGTGTTGTGTGGAGAGTTATCCAATACTCTGACTCTTTTAACCTGACACTGTTGTGTGGAGAGTTATGAAGTTTTGATGGACAGTAAAAAGTCACCTGCAAGTTTGTATACTCTTTGTGCAACAAAATGCACACGGCAACGTAGAAAAATCAAAACTTTATTTCTTTATATTCAATGCATTTTGGGGTCAGATGGAAAAATATGAAAAAAAAATTCAAAAAAACGAAACAAACAAAAAAAAAAAAAAAAAAAAAAAACAAAAAACCAAACCTAGTGCACACTGAGGGTTTTTTCCTGTCTCTTATGTTTTAATTCAAGAAGACAGATATAGAAAGATAGTAAGAAGGAAGGAAGGATGGAAGGAAAGAAGGAAAGAAAGAAAGAATGAATAAAGGAGTCCCCCAAAATGTGTCCCCTGGTTTGAAACTGTGTATGTCAAGTTTTAGCACAGAGCACATTTTTAATGGCTCAGTATAAGTCCCCTAAAGGCAGGGTTCCCAATGGGAGTGCTGCCACAGCCCTAACTATTACAGCAGCCCTGTGAATGGCGCCATAACCAGATCTGCTAAACCAGATCTGCTAGAGAGTCTTTTAAAAGTTTGCAAAATACTGTCCTGCTTGAAAAAAAAAAAAAAAAAAAAAAAAAAAAGGGGGGCCAGATAGTTTGATGCCAACATAAACATGCTTTTAACCCATTATGTGCTAATTTGCAGAAACGTCATTAATGGAGAACGAGGCACACGGTGCTGTGGTAACAGGAAATGTTCTTTCAAACTTCTTTTAGTATGGCTTTAATCAATTCCATAAAGCATGGGGAACAGTTAAAACTGAAGGGCGTTTTTGCTTGGAACTTTAGAAGGAGGTGCTCGGCTTTGCCAGGAAGATGGTTTGGGATTGGGGTTGGGGGGTGGGGTGACAGTGGGGAATCCCTGCCAAGGCCTACAAGAACACCATGGTTGCATATTACTGGGCATGTTTTAAGCTGTTTTGCAAAAGGAAACAGAATGCATTTCAGTAGACCCTGGCTTATTTTGTCCCTGGCTGTACCGGTGATGGTGGCATTCCCTTTACTGGTGTTTTAAAAAAAGATCTTTTTAGTAGAAGTTTAAAAGTGAAATCACTCCCATTAAATCTGTTTGGAGTTTCTCAGAAAGAAGCAAACCGGATGCCTTCTATGGATGCGACTGTTAAGGAGGCTGAATCCTTTTTCTGTCCTCAGTCACTTTAGAACCTGACTCCTGGATGCCTGAGACCAGACTGGGCATGGTAATCACCTTACCGATGGCTCTTTGAAACAGAAAGAACTGTTTGCTTCTTTTGATTTCAAAGCTATGGGTCACGGCAAAACTGAGCACAGGGAACCAGGGCACATAAGGCTGTGACGTCATGGGGGAGGGCACAGTTACAGACCTCGTACTGTAAGGCAAGGCCACTAATAATAATTTGGCAAACTCTTATACAGCACGTACTTTGTGCCAAGTTGTTCCATACTAGCCCCTTTGTGTCTTATATGAAAAAAACAAACTCGGGAGGCAGGTATTATCTCTGCTTGCCGGATGAGCAAACCGGGGCCAAAAGAAAGAGAGTCAACCAAGTTGATCATACAGCTATTGAGTGTCAGAGCCAAGATTTGATCCAGGTACCCTGGCTTCAGACCCTTTTCTTTTCCCTCACTGCTTTACACTTGCTTTTCTATAACTGAGTTTGTATAAACATAATCAAGGCAAAATTGAACACACATGCAAAACTCAAGTAGGCCTTAGCAGGAGGTAATTTCTCTTTTTTAATTTCTCTTTTTTAGATTTATTTATTTTTATTTTATTTCTATGGGTGTTTTGCTTGCATGTATATCTGTCTCTATGCCCGATGCCCACAGAGGCCAGAAGAAGGTGCTGAATTCCCATAACTGGAGTTACAGATGGCTATGAGCTACTAGGTAGGTGTTGGGAATCAAACTCTGGTCTTCTGGAAGAGCAACAAATGCTCTTAACCATTGAGCCTTCTCTCCAGCCTCAGGAGACAACTGTTAAAATCTAAGAAATGCCTCTACATTTTATCTATCCAAACCTCTAAGTGTGCATGTATGCAATTTGGGGTAGCTATTCAGACTAAATGGATTTTTTTTTTCTTCTCCTGAGAACGCAGGTGTCTGGAGCAAGCACATGGGCTCAGGACACATTTTCCCAGAACTCTCCAATCAATCACTTGCCATGCACCAAGCCAGAGCCATGGCTATCTTTAAAATTTAATATTAACACAGATGATTTTAGACTTTAGTTGATCTGTAGCTGACAAGCCTAGTTGGAAGTTTAGAAGAACCTGTTAACCTGCACTCAGTTCTGCAGGGACCACTTGCCATTTTTCAGGAATAATAACAACTCAAAATCTCATCTCAGTGGACTGAGAGTCTTGACATAGTGAAAGAATAAAATTTCTAAGGGAATGTCATGAAGACAGCATTGTGGTATAAGATACAGGTTGTAAAGTCAACCTAAGTCTTGGCTCATTCAAGATTTAACCTACCTCTTGGCTCACATGTTTATAAGTAAAGTATGTATCCTGTGGCAGGTTTTTACATCTTTCTCTTCTGTCCTCTGCCAGTACAATAAGGATAATAATAGTATATGCCCCCCAAAGACATTTTGAACTATAGACAGTATATTTTCAGTGCTTGGAGGGGAGGTAAGTAGATTATAAGCCCTAAATTGATGCTAGTTTTTATTTTGTGTTCTGTTTCCTTCCAGTGCTGGGATTGGAACCCAAGGCCTTGGACTTACTACAAAAGTACTTTACCACTGAAGCAGATTCCCAGTGTTAGTGGCTATTATCACTGACATGTATGGAAGATTATTTGTCCTAATATGGGCAGAGTTGTGGAAGAACACTGAACTGTAGAGTAGTGATTGCTGTTAATGTTTTTATGTAGCACGTATGTAAAACTTCAGAATTGATAAAATAATTGCATTTGCCCCTCTTCCTCATGATTATCTTTCATAGTCTAGCATGACAACTGATGGTTTATCTTTTTTTTAATCTTTAAAATATTTAGTAACCTCTTAATTGGAATTGGGATTGGCACTGAAGTTGGTTCTACTCCATTTCTTAAGTCAATTTGAAAATAACTGATTCTTGGCCTGGAGATTTTAGTGTATGTTTTAAAAAGAAATGTATCATGTAGCTGTACAAAATACTATATAAAGGGGATGTGAGTGTGAGCTTGATTTGCTTCTATCATCTCTGAGTTTAGTAAGAGAAAACAATAAAACAAACAGTACTTGCCCAGTGTATCTCCTAACCATACCTTCTTTCACTTCTTGGTTTTTCTCTTGATTTTCCAGTTCAGAATCATGACCAATTTTAGGTTCCACCATCTCCTCGTCTTCCTCATCCTCTAGAAAGAAGAAAGAGAAAAACACATTATTTTTCATCTTTAAATCAAAGTCTTTGGCTGATGGTGGGAGGTAGACTAAAGGGCAAAGTTCCAGCCATTTAGGGCAACTTCTAAGTAAATCACTTCACAGAAAATGCCAGACAAATGTTCATGAATATATGAATAAATTATCTTCCAAATGAACCTCTTTGAAAGGCTCCCAACCTGCTGGGAAATCTGCACTGAGTGGGCACCTGTTATGTTCCCCCCATAGACCCTGACCACATGGGATGTCTTGGAATTGCCTCCCTGACCTCTGAAGCTTCCTTGGAGATGGCTCAGAAACAGGTCTGAAAATGTTTCCACCTGGAATGCTTTCCAAGCAAGGGCCACCTGCTGCCCAGATGACTCATTTCCAATTTCATTTTTGCCAAATCAATTTGTTTTTGACCTACAGGAAAGGGTTAAATACAGGTCTAACCCCAGGTCAAATGCCATGGGCAAGTAAACAACCAGGGAAAGACCCCCAAAGTCAATGCCACTGGTCTGGAAGAAAACAACCCACTCCAAATGGCATTTGCACATTCACAATAGTTCATGAATTAATGTGAATTTAATGAGCGCTAACAAATGGACCCAGTCAACTGCCATGGCCAGATGTTACAGTGCCCTTTCTGCTCTATGCAAATGTGGGTCTCTCTCCACCTGCCTCATTTAGAGGAGTGCTTGGAGCCACTAACTGAAATAGGATTTAGGAAACAAGGTGCTGAAGAAAATCTAACTCACAGATACAAAATGATAAAAAAAAAAAATACTGGAAGCTGTTTTCCTAGATTTTGAATATAGTGTAACATTTTTAGTAGGTGTTTTATTTCTTTGGTTCAAGTGAGTGTAAAAGAAATCACTTCTTCCCTTCCTTTCTATACATTCTTTCAACAAATATTTATAGACTTTGTGTAAGATGCCCAGCTCTGTGGTACCTTCAAACCCAACCCATAACAACAATGCAGGCTTTTAGGAAGCATGGAGAAAGTGCATTATCAAGGAAATCAGGAGTTGGTGCTTTGGTTCGGGGAAGCTGTGTGACACCAAAAATGGTCATCAGAAGAAGGCCACATGGAGGTGACCCTTGGGAATTAAGTAGTTAAGTTGTGCAGAGATCTAGAGGAAGTAAGATGATAGCCCACACTTCTTTCTTAATCTGTAGACCAAGAGGTCAAGGTTCAGATACATTTATTTCCAGCTCTACTGAATATAGACTTAAAGATGGTTCTAGTAGAGCCATCTTGTCTGCACACTTGTATCTTCAAGTTCTCAAAACCTAAGGCATTTTATCAAATGGCTTTGTATTAGTCATCTTCAAATTGTACCATTTTTTTTTGTCTTTACAGATAGGAAGTCTTTTATTTTAAGTATTAGTTCTTCAAAGAGTTAAAAAGCCTATCATAATAGAAAGTCACTAAGAATTTATTGGAAAATATTATTCTATAAAGTATTTGGCTACAAAAAGTTCTGTGATACCATGTGTTAGTTTATACATAGAAGTGTGCAGGTAAGTCATACTTTATACAATTCCTTGAATAGAAGGAAACCCTTCCCTTGAGAGCATGCTTTCAATTTGTATTTTTTTAAAGCACAAAAATGTGTACCATGTTTACAATATGCAAAATGCTGTATAAAGGACTATAAATAACAGAGAAAAAATTTTAAAGTGCCCGCCTTTTTAAAGTGGTTACGAACCATTTGTAGGTATTAATTTTTAGTAGCCACAAAATTCCTTGTCTATCAGCCCTTTAAAGACATAAAGTAAGCGTTTCAGTGGATCTGTTGAGGAAATAAAACACAAGAGGCTGGTTTGTTTCTCTGAATACTGATATGTTTGCCTTGCTCAGCAAAGAGAGTGTATTTTTCTTTAAGACTCTGGTTTCCTTTCTGGTGCACTTAGAATAACTTCTGTGGAGACCACTTTCAAAACAGTTCAATAACTTTTAAGAAAAGGATTTATGTAGACCCTCTGCAGACTACTGATATACGACTTGGGCCACACATTCATACCCAGTTACATTTCCTTGGAGATTGGAAAGGATAAAAAAATACCACCCATGTATGGTTTCCTATAGCCAGGTCCACACAAGAAATTAATAGTGGCAGAAACTACCTGTCAGTCTGAGCGACTCGATTCATACAATGGCATCTTTTAGATACATGCTTTTCTTTAGCCTCCATGTTCTGCCACCTCTGGTTGCCACCTTCAGTCCCCTCCTTAGAAAACTCTTTGGCAACTACTGTCCTCCTTCTTGGAGACTTAATGAAGGACTCAGGAGTGGCGGTATTTATATATACATACATGCCCAGCACAGGACTGTCACTGTGTATGAGCTCCAGAGGATTTAGTTTCCTCTGCTAATCCTTGATTCAGATAAGATCAGGGCAGCCAAGCTTAACATGCCACAACCTTTACCTGACTTGCCCTTCTAGCCTTACAGAGTTGGAATGTTGGAAAGTGAGTCTAGTGCAACAAGACTTATCAGTGTTTGGCAATAGTATACCACAATCTCCTGTGTAGAGGACAGTGCCTGGATCAACTCTGTATTGGTGACAAGTGGGACAGTATTATCTTCCTTTGAAGCCAGAAGGGAGACAGAGTGAAAAAGCAGGACTGTGGTAGACTAGATGTTCCCAACTCACACTTTGTCTTTGGGCCCTGGGAGGCAAAGTGGAGAACACAACTAGGATACATTTAGGGCATCATGAAGTTACAGCATCAATGCCCTATATGCTGGCTAGATTGTTCCTGAGGACCCATGTCTGGATTCTGTCGGTCAAAGGCCCTTTTATAGACTGTTCCTTCTGCTTCCTGTTGATTCTATAAGTACCAGATTTCCTTCTAATAAATTCCAAGAGAGGTGGTGTCAGTACCAGATTTCCTTCTAGAAAACCCCACTGGACTTGGTGCTTGGTGCTTGCAACCAGAGCCCTCAGAACACAGGGCAGCCCTGTTTTACGAGGTCGGTAAGTGTTGCCTTCCCAGCCCTCTCAGGATCTGCAAAGCCTCTGGGTAAGAAGGCCTGAGGGCCTGGCTACATTTCATGCTGTTCAGTTGTTGCTTTTCACAAGAGGGCATGGTTCCTGCATGTGCCACCTCAGGGAGACAGCTAGTCTGGGTCAGGTGGAAAATGGAAGGAGAGCACACTAAAGGCCATGCCACTCCATCCTAGTCTCCAAAGGGCACCCTGCTACCGTCCAGAGTGGGAGGCCCAAAGCAATTACCACAGGACTTTGAATTGAACAGGTCAATGGCTGTAAGATCGCTTTATACACCCCTAAGAAAAGCAATGGCTATTTTGTATTTTAAACTGCATTACATCATCCATTCTAATGTGAAAAGTTATGAATGTTGGAATTAATAAAAGACTTCGTGGCTCACGAAATGAGTAGGAACTGCTTCCAAAAAGGAAAAGAAATGGCAAAAATATCAAGAGAACTCTAATTACCAAGGATGGCAAATGGAGAGATAGGAAGGAATGTTATTTATCTTTTCATTATTTTTTATTAATTAAATTTGTTTAATTTCATTCATATATATATATATATGTATATGATATATGCTTATTTTTGCCCTCCCACCTCTCATGACTCCTTTCCATTCCTCTAAACTCTTTTCCCTACAAATCTCTTTCCCACATTCCTATTGATTTTCTTGGTTTGTGACCCTCTGAATTGAACCAGGGACATCTGTGTGACCAGTTTGGAGCTATCCATTGGAGTAATGCTGGGCTCAGCAGTGGATTTCCAACTGATGACAATGACTTCATATGTCCCAGAGCCTACAATAACTGGTCATTTAGAAGTAACAGATGGGGACCCATGAGTCCTTCCCTTGTGGATCACTGACAGTTGATGGGGTCAGTCTTGTGAAAGTAATGGCAGCTGTTATTGAGTTCATGGTTGCAATTGTTATGTCACACCCAGAAGATTTTTGTAGTCCTTAACCTTCTCTTCCAACTCTTTCATTATTCCTAGCCCCCATTTGCCAATGGTTTCTTTACCTTAGAGATGTGGTATAAATGTCTTGCTTCAGGACAGGTCATCACTTACATTTTGGGCAGCCATGAGTCCCTCTGTATTTACCTTTACTTATTGCAAAGAACAGTTACATTGTTAAAGATGAGAGTGAATTTCATCTATGTGCAAAAACCAGATATTTAGAAGGCAGTTTAGAGCTATGTCAATTTAACTAAATAATTTCCCTCATTGGGTCTACGATCTTCCTATTATTATTGATGGAGCTTACAGTAACAGTCACAGATTTCCTCCTGTGAAGCAGAACTTGAAGCCAACCAGAGAGTGATTGGTTACCACTATGGGTCATGCCACTATTGCACAGGTGGGCACATATGTTGCTTGACTGGTTAGTTTTATAGTTTGTTGGTTTCTCAGCTTGGCATGATAGTTGAAGATTTCCTGAATGCTTGTCCCCTCTTTCTCTAGCTGAAATCCTTCTTCTTTCCAAAAATTCCTTTTTTGTACTTTTATGACTTTTAAAAAGATTACCAATGAAGGATGGGTCTCATGAGTCCCTCCCCATGCATGATGAAATGGTGACGTGCCAGTCTTGTGCAGGTCTCAGGCAGGTGAGTTTGTGGAGACAATGGCTGGGGTATTTCTGGAAGACATTGTTTTGTAGTTTTGTACCAGTCTTCACCAAATTCTCCAAATTCTGACTCTAACATTTCCTCATTTGTGGTGTTCCCTGAACCTCGAGGATTTTTTTTTTTCTTTTTTCTTTTTAGTTGTTATTTGGTTATTTTTCTCTTTCTTTCTTTCTTTCTTTCTTCTTCTTCTTCTTTTTTTTTGACATGTTTCCAACAAAAGTACAAATGCTTTCACCACTTTATATGGTTTTGTATTTGAGGGTTTTATGTGATGATTCTTCTCAGAAGATACTTACATTTTTTTTCAATAGAAAAATAGATCTATTTTTCCTATGCTTTGGCTTTTATTAAAAACAATCATTTCAA